ATCAACTAATCTTGTCCAGGTTCCTTTGTGATCCACTGTTTCAGAGTCAGTACATAAGAGGATTGGGTGTACTTACATATTCTTTGAAGAGGCACGTGAATATACACATAGCCAAAGTCAATATAATTCAGAGGTAGAGCCAGCTAATGTAATTTAGCTTAAGAAACTAAATGTATGCAATTCATATTGTGAGGGAAGATTAAACTAATTTTATTGATAAAACATGCTCATTTTAAAATGGGGTATCAAGAAAGTAACAGCCCACTCCCAAATGAACTGTGACATTAAAATGTGCGATATTTTCTTATCATCTCCCCCATTTCCTTCTGTGCTGACACACCTCGTGTGCTGTGCAGATGCCTGCTCTCAAGTATCTCCTCTGTGAGTCTCTTCATTCACTCTGTCTGGACTCACTGCCAGGGTACCTCTGCAGTATCACCTTAAGCTCACTATCTGAAATGACCTTCGTCTGATATTTCTATCATCAGAGTGCTGGTTGCCAGTGAGCCTTTTATGAACAGGTGGTGACCTTCGGGAAGGTGATGTGAGCCATCTCTCCCACTCTACACATAGCATCTAGATCCGCTCAGTTTCCAGAGCCCTGTGAAACACAAACGTCTCTATCCACCTCACAGCTCCCCGGTAGAAAACATGCTCCCTGCTTCTTGCCCACTCAGCAGCACCTAAGTATCTAAAAAGCATACTGTTAGAAATCCTGATTAGATACCTAGTATAAGCTCAATTTCAGTAGCCATTCTTCGAGCGTCCTATATTCCAAGTTTCCTCTCGAATGAAAGAGCTGAGCAAGTCTTGAAGATGAATTAGTACTGTCCTCAAGCACCACGATTTAAAAGTCAAATGTCCTATATAAGCATGGAAAACCTAAAACCTTTCTTTAATCCCCCCAATTCACTTTAGAATCCTGTTTAGATATTTGTTTTAAGATACTTTTATTGACTCTTTAAGAATTTCATACACTGGATTTTTATCATATTCAAGACCAGATTCTTACCCTGTCTTCTTCAAGACACACCTCCACCTCCTTACCTTCTCCCTCCAGTTTGCTGCCATCTGTTTTGAAAATATCCATGGATTCAAATTTGTGCTGTTTACACATTCCTAGATGTGGGATCATCCACTGGGGAAAGGTAGACTGACCAGGACCCTAAAGAAAACTGGCACTTCACCTTGAAGCCATTGCCTTCCATAGTGCCTCAGAGGTGGGGCCCATGACTCTTCCCTACCTTGTGCTAGAATATCGGCTGTCTTGACCTTGTGCAATTCTATAGACAGCCACAGTTGCTGTGGGTTCTTGGGTGCCATGGTGGTGGTAGTCCTGTCATGTCCTGCAGTCACTGTTTTCTCCAACTCTCTTACCTCTGGGTCTTACAATCTTTCTCCCCACTCTTACATAATCATCCCTAAACCTTAGGGAGATGGGTGTAAATTATAGTCTACAGACATCTGTTCTGCACACTTTGACCAGTTGTGAGTTTCTGCACTGATCACCCTCCACTACAAAAAGAAACTTCTCTGATGAGTTCTAAAGGGTGTGCTAATCTACCAGTAAAGAGACAGAGATTTAGAGGGAAGTTTGATACTCTTTATTTATAAAAATAATAGCAGTAGGTTAACTCCTAGGGCCTGTGAGCTTCCCAACCACATATGTATAATCTAAACACTTAGAATGTAGAGGCAATTGGATCAGAAGTAAAGCTACATGGTGAGTTACAAGCCAGACTTTGCTATGTAAGAACTTTACCAAGTAAACCACATTCCCAATCTCCACACAAGGCATTTTCTTTATCTTAGCTTTAAAACATCCCTTGAGTTGATCTTTAGGTAGATAATGTTTATAAATGTGATGAGCCCACATTTCTGGTGATTCTATTTTTCCTATAGGATCTATATTGCACACTATGAAAGACAAGATTATAACCCTATCCCCTGTAGCTGGCCCATCATAAATATTGTTACTATGATATCTACTTCCTGACAATCATTCTAGGCACTTAAACCATGTTATATTCAAAGCCTGTCAACTTATGAAAGGGCCAGAAAAATGATGCTGTGGTGATTAATCAAAGATGAGTCATGTGTTTTCAAACACAGAATCTGTTTTGTGGTTAGGAATTTTGACTCTTCTGTTGTTGGCATGGTATATGAAGTGAGAAATTTATGTAAAAATGGCAGCTATAAACAAGACAATGGACTGTAGCTCATTAGATGGTTTACATAGTATGGAATCCAGTATCATCATCATACAAATAAATAACGATGTTTTTCCTTTGCAGAAAGAATTTAACAATGACTGTAAGCTGAAAGAGAGGATAGAGGAAAATGGATACAATACCTATGCATCCTTTAACTGGCAACACAATGGCAGGCAAATGTATGTGGCATTGAATGGAAAAGGGGCTCCCCGGAGAGGACAAAGAACACGGAGGAAAAACACCTCTGCTCACTTCCTCCCAATGGTGGTCCACTCATAGAAGAAGGCACTGTTGGTGGACACAGTACAACCAAAGACTCTTTGGCCAGGAAGAGCTGGAGTTGATATCCTCACAGAAGACTGTAGTGTTAAAGGCAAAGACCTATCACAGAGCTCAGCTTGCTTAAAGGAAGGAAGGCTTTGGAGGCTTTTGTACTCACTCCTGACATATGAAGTTCTTTTCATTAGCTCTGCGTCATGCCTTATACCCAAGACAGAGGCAAATCAAGTGGGATGGAAGTTATCCCCAAGTGAACAATGTTGTGGCTGGGTTTTTCTTTGTGTTTGTTTGTTTGTTTGTTTGTTTAAGTTTTTGTTTTTGAACTTCTGAGATAGAACTTAAAGGACATGGAACAATCTGTTGAATGATCTTTGGGAAAGTTATTTATGGAATAATGAACACATATCAAAGACTTTCATTGCTCATTCAAGCCTGATGATTCAATGAGCAGTAAGACACGCAAGCATTTACTGGAAAGCACTTGGGTCATATCATATGCACAACCAAAGGAGATTTGGGTGTGGCACCATGGAAGAATTGGATCAGATTTACAAATATAAACACATTAGTGTGAAACTGTTCTAACAATACAAATAGTATGGTATGCTTGTGCATTCTGCCTTCATCCTTTACTATTTCTTTCTAAGTTATTTATTTAATAGGATGTTAAATATCTTTTGGGGTTTTAAAGAGTATCCTCAGCGCTGCCCTCTGATTTGCCTTCTCATTTTTTTTTGGCACCCTATGCATGTTCATGACAAAGTGTTTTAAAAACTTGGCAAACACTTCAGAAGTAAGAGATGAGCTCAAGGGAGCAGTACAAGTGCCCCATGTGCTATCAGTTGACTTAATTTGCACTTCTGCAAGAAGAACTGTCAGGGATATCTATGGCGGGGTTCTGCTATAGCTTGAGGAACAGCTATCTGTCATCATTTGCCAACACACATCAGTCCTGAGGCTTCCTTACCTAAAAACATAGAAGGCCAAATTCTCTTCCATTGCCTTATTTCATCTCCATGAATATACAAAAAGAAGGAAAATGAATTGTTAGATTTTTATCCTAGCCTTGTTTTTTTGTTTTGTTTCATTTTGTTCATTTGGTTTTTTGTTTGTTTGTTTGATTGATTTTGTTTTTGACTGATGATGGCTCACTACAGCTCACAGTGGCAATGATGGAAAGGTTATCTGCATAGACAAGATCCCTTTATAAGTCCCACAGAATGCTTCCCCCCGAAAAGGAACCAAAAAAGAAATTTCATATGAAGTGCAACTCTCCCAGGGGCTAAAACTGAGTAAATATATCCTGGTATATGTGTAACCACATACTGAAAACCATTCAAACTGTATGATCTAGTCTTTACAAAACCAAATAAAGCTTGTTTTCTGTACATTTAAAGTTTTCTAGAAGGTTCCATAATATAACCACATCAAAATTCATTTTTTTTTAGAGCAGGTATAGAAAGCAGAACATAAGTGTACCACTCACTGTCACGTGTATTTCACTAAATAAACACATAAGCCTTATTTGCAGTGTCTGTAGTGATTTAAAAATGTAAACAAAAAATATTATTTGTTCTAAATATTTCAAAGGATAATTTTAACACTATATTGATGCTGCAGTTTATCTTATTTCTTGTTTGGAAAAGTCTTTTTATTTTTATTGTTTGGATACAATATTTTGGTACAAACAAAAGACTCACCAAACGTTCTTTTTACTAAAAAATTAACCTCTACAAAGACTGGTGATTTGTGGACCTCTTCTAACTTATTTGTGCTGATGCTTAGCCAGTGCAAATCAATTATTTAAAATATTAAGTTAAAGGTTAATCAGTTATTTAAAAATCAGCTTTTTCAGAATGTTCCCACAGGGTAATCCAACAAAGATCATATTTTATGATTCTTTGAAAACCTGTTATTTCAAGAGAAATGCACAGAGGCACAGTGCTTTGGTTTATGGGTATATTTGCATTTTTATGGTATTTTTCTTTCAACTTGTTTTATGACAAATGGGATTTTAAACATGTATACTTTTGTGGTTGGATTCTGTATGTTAAAATTGAATTGGCAACTAAGTCTGAGACCTCTAATGTGATGCATCGCTAGAAAAACTGGGTATCTCTTTTTTTTCTTTTATTTTAAAATAATAATTATACCTGACACATGAACACAGACCACCCACAACCAAAATTAAATGTTTGGGGAGACAAACTATGGTATTCAATGACCAGAGTAACAGCAAATAGGGCAGACGCTGGATTCTTATTTCACATTGCCATTTAGATTACTAAAGAGACTACGTGTAAACAGTCATCATTATAGTACTCAAGACATTAAACAGCTTCTAGCAAAATATATCAAAGCTTGCAGAGTCCAAAAATAGAAAACATCTTTCCCCCTCCCCCACTCTACATCTTTCCCTGTATACATCCTAACAGAGATAAATACAGAAACCATTTGATAAAGAGTGAGGATTTTACTGCATTAAAAATTTGCATCCTTGTTTGATATTGATAGCCCCTTTTACTACTACTGAAAGAAAAGGAGTCCAGTCCTAAATGTTGTGTGTTTGAAAAAAAAATGAGGAGCTCTGCCTCTGTGGCAAGTGTGGGCGCTGGCCCCACCATGCTGAAGGGTGTCAGCCACAGATACCAGGCCGTGTGAGCGCTGGCTGGCACTGAGACTCCTGAAAGATCGAACCACTCCCTCCTCCTACCCCCTAAGAGGCTGAACAGTGTATATTATGTTACATTTAAATAAAGGCAATAAAATGCTGGGGAAAGAAAATAAAAATATTGTCTTTGTTTTCTCTCTCTCTCTCTTTTGTTATTTTATTAGCCTAGAACTCTACCTGGTAATGAGAGAATCTCTGGGGTTGTGTGCATGACAGGATGTGGTTAAATGCCCCACAGCCCCAAACAACAACAACAGAAAAAAAATTACTCAAACATTTGTAAGGTTTCTTTAATGTTTTACATGTGTGAGTCGGCTGTCCTTACCCTAATAACAACCAAATGCTTTCAGTTTTCCTAACTATTCAGGTCCACCTAGTTTACACAGTGGATAAAGAAGAATGAATTGAAAACAAGGATGGCTTGTGCAACAATGAAAGGCTTTTGGAGGCAAGCCAGGAGCTGCAAAATCAGACTTCCAGGCGATGGAACAGACCAATGAATTTGATTTGAAAAGTAGGCAGAAAAAAAAAAATAATGATGCAAGTTGATTCCAGGGCCCAAGCAAGTTTGTGGACATATTTCTAGTAGATCAGTTTTGTGTAACATACTTCTAATAATTAGAATGCTGTTAATTATTGGTTTGAGTATTCAACAACGTAAACAACATTTTTCATATTAGGGAATTACTAGCTCTTACTTTGTTTAAATAAAGATATATACATAGGAAGTTAGAAATATTTAAGAGATAATGACCTGCACTTCAGAACAGCACGTATGGATGCAAACAAATCCTGTGATAAGAGGCTGTCTACCTTGACAGATGAGACCTTTGCAATTTAAACTAAGGTATGAAAATGATTTATCTTGGAAAGGTGCTGGGGGAAAAGCTTCAGAACTCTTCCAGAATTGGAAAATAAAGCTCTAAGCACTTATTCCTCTCCTTCATTTCCTCTCAGCTGATTGACTGTAGATAGTCGAGGACCGCTTGCTTCCAAGTTGTTTCTTTCCAACTTCAAAACCTCAAATTTTCTCTTCTCAAGATGAAAAACTGAAGCGTCCTATGTATGACTCTTACTGCTCTATTTTGAATAAGTTATCAATTGACTTCAGGAGCAGTCTACTAGCATGTCAAGGGATTTAGGCATTGTGAAGTGCCAGTCTTTATTCATGTGACCACAAAGAGACAGGGTACAGTTTTTAGATGTTCACACAAAAGAATGAAGAACTAGCCACTAAACTAAGGAGGAAGAGAGGAAGGAGAATAACAAAAAAGTAAAATAAAATTCAGAGGTAGGTAGGTCCAGAAACTGGATAATTTCTAGTTACGTGTGCTTAAAATAAACTATGTCTTGTTCCCATATATTTTTAATCAATTCCAATCATCTGCCATTTATTTTTCCAAATGAGAGAGATATGAAGATCTTTCTCTTTTGTGCAGTTTTTAAATGAAAGTAATATGTTTGTTCTGTTTTAAGCCAAGAATAGGGTCCTGAATATAGCCAGGCTCCCCATCATTTTACACACCTTAGAGAAGGATCAGTGGAATGGATTACAAATTTGCAATGAAAAAAGAAGCCAGTCCTTATAATAAACATCACCTTATATCATATTGATGCTGTAAATACTCCTTTAAAATTCTTCCATGAACATGTGCTAGTGTTTTTGAGAAATCAGTGTACAAAAAAAAGTTGAATACACAATATCATTTATTGTTTTAATTGTAGAATAAAAATGGAAAAACTTATGTTACATCTTTTAATGTATCATGTATACAAGAGACAAAAGAAGACTTTACAACCTGCATTCCTCTTCCCTTTTGTGGATTAGGGGAAAACATCAGAAATTTCCCTTGTAAGTAAACAATCTACTGAAACACATTTATAAACACCATGCATTAGTTAAAATGGAATAATCATGATCAAACCAGCAGGATCAAAGGAGCTGGTCTTATTTCTAAGTGGATAATAACGAACATTTCCATGAGTCTCCACCATGATAGCAGCTAAAGGCAACAATCCCAAACTCTGAAAAAAGCCATATGCCAACTGTACATGCATGTGACATGTATTATTTGACTCAATTTATTACCCTCCACAAAAGAGCCTCTATGCATTTTTTTTTAACGCAGGCAATTGCATCCTCTAGAGATGAGCATGGCAAATGAAGAATCAAAACACCCCATGTTCCTCATTACATCTGTAAATTGAACATATGCCTTTGTACAACGTAGGCAGTGACCCCAGCTGCAGAATAACCAACTGCAGTGTGGCCTTAACCCGCCTAAGGTTTGGTTTTAATTACCTTATACACATCTTAAATGCCTAAATCATCTTACAATTTTCTAAATTATTTAGTTATCATTTCTGTGGTCAATTTAAGCTGCTGACAATGCAAATACCCTCAAAGAGGTCTTTCAAGGAGAAGTAAATTAAAACCAGTTTTCTGTGAGGTATTATACATTTTTGAAAGGACTGTGTTTTATGGTTATGGGAAGCTTTAGGGTTAGGGGTCAATTATTAATTCAGTTTGACATTAAAATATTTTAATATATGGTATTTAAACCAGAATCCTTAACAGACCTGTTTTTCTTTGACACAAATCAATATGCTTAGACATCAATGGTATTTAAGCCAACATCTATCTATACAAGTTGTATGAGAACTAAATGTGTTACCATGGAGATTTCCAAATGAGAAACACTGAAGGACGATGGCCCTGGTTGTGAGTAATGCTGCTACCTTACAGACTTTTCCAGATAATTTGAGTTCTGGATGCAAAATGAATTTTTATATTTCAAGCTGATGCTCATGTAGAAATCGAATGAAACTAAACTGTACTTTCAAATTGATGTCTGCAGTCGTTCCTCCTCATCTCATCCAGAAATGTTCTATATTCCACCTCCTACTTCCCCTAGGAAACAGTCAAGTCAGCCCCTTCCCACAGGAACGGTGCATTTACCTTTCCACACTCCTCTGTTTTAAAGCAACATGATATTAAATAGCTTTCCACCATGTGTTTCCTTATTAGACTCACAAGAAAATGATGGTTTTTATTGGAGCCAATAATCTACTCCACTTCCTTCCAATGAATAGTAACTCTACACTATTGCTAGTAGAGATTGTTAAGGACAATTAACACAAGGAACCTGAATTATTCTTCTTCTATTTTTCCTTATTTTTGGATTATTTATCTTATTAAAGTAATGGTTTTCAATCATTTACATAATTCAGTTCTAATTCAGTACTAATGGGAAAACAAAACAATTTTTTTGAGACAGGGTTTCTCTGTGTAGCTTTGGAGCCTGTCCTGGATCTCGCTCTGTAGACCAGACTGGCCTTGAACTCACAGAGATCCTCCTGGCTCTGCCTCCCAAGTGCTGGGACTAAAGGTATGTGCCACCACTGCCCAGCAACAAAACAAATTTTAAACACAAGGACTACACTATTGGTTAAATTCTTAATCCACAGTTCCTAGAATATGTTCATATTTAGAAACAAGGTCATTTCGTGGGTATGAATAGGAGAAATTTAGGCACAGACATACACACCCCAAAACCACCTTAGTATCTTCAGGCTGCTGTAACAAAACATCACAACCTGTGTAGATTACGTAGACAAATGAACAGAATACATTTTTTAATAATCAGATTTTAAAGTACATGTTCAAAAGAATATGACTATAAAATAGAGTTGCCTAATACAACTTATATATTCTAGTGAATGTTGCCCATTTCAATTACAACATCAGAAAATTGTAATTATATTAACAGACTTCATCACAGGAATTAGATGCTGTTGGGTGACTGCTTGGAAAGATGCAAAGAAACACCTGTTCACCCCAGATAGGAAACCAATGACAAACCAAAAAAAGCCATTCTATTCAAGTCTATTTTGATGAACCACTGAGCTTTTTTAGAGTTGTCTATAAAAGAGCTAATGTCTCAGAGGCTGCAGTGTTACTGAAAAGCCTACCTCAGCATGAAAGCTGAACCCCAGAGCACCTTTCCAACCTGTAAGCAGTTCCACCAGAGAGTTTCCTGTCTCTCAGCAACTGCTTGCTACTTATGTAACCTTAGGGACTGGCCTTTTAAAACCTGTAATTTCAGGTGCTTCCTGAGCCTTGTACACATCACTTTCCTGAGTCCCATGAACCCCACTACTTCCTTAGAGAGAGAATGTTTCTGTTTGAAGGAAGCAATTATACAATACATGCTATCAAATTTTCCCTCCTCAAAGGAGTCTTCACATCCTATGTACAGCTATTTGAACTAGGAATAAGCATCTTGGTTTTAGATAATTCATCATCTTCTAATTAATTTCTTCCTCTTTTAGACCTATGAATTCATAATAATGGTTCATTTTCTAAAGTTATGTGAATCTGTCTTAAGATAACAATGTATAGGAAAAAAAAAACTTGTGGTAGTATCCTCCAAACAAGAGGATCTTTTCTAAAAAAAACAAACAACAAAAAAAATCTGCCTAGCATCTTTCCTAATTTATTCATAAGAATATTTTTGCTAATTCTTTGAGAATTATATATAACTATAAAGTTTTATATAATGAACATATTCACACCCTCCCCAAACTCCTCCTGTAATATCCCTCTATACTCTTTTGTCCCTTTCCATCAAACTTTAAGATTTATCCCTTTTTTTTGCCTTTTCCTCATTGTGTCCATTTTGAGTTTCCCAACTTATCTTGGGAGTGGGGCCCACCATTGTATGCAGTTAGCCTAACAGGAATCACTCATTATATAAAACTAACTCTCCTCCCCTTAGCAGACATCAAATGATAACAGCTCCTTAGCTAGGGGTAGAACTTTGGACCCACCATACTCCCCCTATGTTGGGTATTTTTTGACTGGATCATGCACAGGTCATTTGCATGTTTTCACAATTGATATGAATTCATATGTACAAATGTCCTATTGTGTCTGGAAAATATTGTGTCCTTGATGTTATCAACCACCTTTGGCTCTTACAATTTTTTTCCTTCTTTCTTGAAGATTCCTTAGCCCTGTAGGAAGGAGTGTCACATGTATGTCCCATTAGGACTCAGAACTCCAACATCTTGTATTTTATACACACTACCCATTTGGAAGTCTTTGTGTTAGTTGCCATCTACTGCAAGAAAAAGATTCTCT